GAGGAGAGGGCTAAGGGATGATGAGGAGAGCGCTAAGGGAGGATGAGGAGAGGGCTAAGGGAAGATGAGGAGAGGGCTAAGGGATGATGAGGAGAGCGCTAAGGGAGGATGAGGAGAGGGCTAAGGGAAGATGAGGAGAGGGCTAAGGGATGATGAGGAGAGCGCTAAGGGAGGATGAGGAGAGGGCTAAGGGAAGATGAGGAGAGGGCTAAGGGATGATGAGGAGAGCGCTAAGGGAGGATGAGGAGAGGGCTAAGGGAAGATGAGGAGAGGGCTAAGGGATGATGAGGAGAGCGCTAAGGGAGGATGAGGAGAGGGCTAAGGGAAGATGAGGAGAGGGCTAAGGGATGATGAGGAGAGCGCTAAGGGAGGATGAGGAGAGGGCTAAGGGAAGATGAGGAGAGGGCTAAGGGATGATGAGGAGAGCGCTAAGGGAGGATGAGGAGAGGGCTAAGGGAAGATGAGGAGAGGGCTAAGGGATGATGAGGAGAGCGCTAAGGGAGGATGAGGAGAGGGCTAAGGGAAGATGAGGAGAGGGCTAAGGGATGATGAGGAGAGCGCTAAGGGAGGATGAGGAGAGGGCTAAGGGAAGATGAGGAGAGGGCTAAGGGATGATGAGGAGAGCGCTAAGGGAGGATGAGGAGAGGGCTAAGGGAAGATGAGGAGAGGGCTAAGGGATGATGAGGAGAGCGCTAAGGGAGGATGAGGAGAGGGCTAAGGGAAGATGAGGAGAGGGCTAAGGGATGATGAGGAGAGCGCTAAGGGAGGATGAGGAGAGGGCTAAGGGAAGATGAGGAGAGGGCTAAGGGATGATGAGGAGAGCGCTAAGGGAGGATGAGGAGAGGGCTAAGGGAAGATGAGGAGAGGGCTAAGGGATGATGAGGAGAGCGCTAAGGGAGGATGAGGAGAGGGCTAAGGGAAGATGAGGAGAGGGCTAAGGGATGATGAGGAGAGCGCTAAGGGAGGATGAGGAGAGGGCTAAGGGAAGATGAGGAGAGGGCTAAGGGATGATGAGGAGAGCGCTAAGGGAGGATGAGGAGAGGGCTAAGGGAAGATGAGGAGAGGGCTAAGGGATGATGAGGAGAGCGCTAAGGGAGGATGAGGAGAGGGCTAAGGGAAGATGAGGAGAGGGCTAAGGGATGATGAGGAGAGCGCTAAGGGAGGATGAGGAGAGGGCTAAGGGAAGATGAGGAGAGGGCTAAGGGATGATGAGGAGAGCGCTAAGGGAGGATGAGGAGAGGGCTAAGGGAGGATGAGGAGAGGGCAAAGGGAGGATGAGGAGAGGGCAAATATGGAAGCCGTTTTACTCGCGGAAGGATTGTTAATTCTGTAAATCCGGCGCTCTGATCCGGACATTCCGCCCGGCAGCTCGGCCAAATGCTCAATCCCGGACATGCCCCCAACCTGCTGATTGGACAGCTAAGGAGCAGCAGTACTCTGAACAGCCAGCACATATGAACAGCGGGAGAGTTGGATTGGCCCCCAGTGCTGCCCCTCCATCTCTCAGTGTAACTGCTGTGCAGGGGGTGAGGGGAGACTGACACAAAGATGACTCCACATTCAACTGCAATGAATGATGTCAAATCCGTGTGTTTTGGGTATAAAATTCCGCCTCGTCTATATATTTCATACTTCCTCCTGTCCCTGCGCTGCACTGCGCTGATTGAAGCGGTCTGTGTTGATTTTATGACTTCCCAGCATGCCACAGTGCAGTGCTCAGGTACCGGAAGGCAGCGGGGAGAGCCGCAGGGAGCAATATTAAGCAGCTGATGTAGTGAAGGACAGAGCAGAGGTCAGTGTAATTATGATCCGGGATTACCTGAGAGTGGTGCGCACACACATACGATTCCTGGAGTTCATCTATGGACAAAGAATTCTGCTGATTTTCATGCTTTTGTAGAAACGCATGTGAATGTCACCAGAGTCCTAGAATGTCGTCAGTGAGGGTTACAGCTTTATAAAGTGTGTGTCTGCCATACTGGTCATACTGGTCATGCTGGCCATACTGGTCATACTGGTCATGCTTCGTACATCCTTCTACTTCGCTGCTCGTTTACCAGACAGGGGCTGTGTGACCGTACACTCTCTGCAGTCCCTATTGATATGAAACGCCCACAATGCGCTGGGTAGCCAGGGGCCATGTGACCTTTGCCTCGCATTGTAGGTTACATGAGGGCAATGGAGCAAGAAAGGGGAGCTGATCATGTAATGAGGTCATGCGTACATGTACACTGTTGTTTCACGTGACCGGTACACGTCTGAGAGAAGACAGAACAGAATCCTATGAGGCGGCCCCGTGTGCCTGCGCAGCTGAGCGTCGGGCTGTGTTCCTGGAGGCACCTGCGACGTGACGAATGCGGCTCATTGAAGCGTTGCGCTGGATGTCAGGAGATGTTAATCTTCTCTGCCAGCCCCCAGATTTCCCTGACTGGCTCCTGAATGTCGTGTTATTTCCTACGTCCCCCGACTTACCCGTCCCCGGCTCTGCTGGGCGTCACGCTCCGGCGTCACGCTGGCTTCTTGCTCTGAGCACATTTGGGGACGTTGTCACTTCTCTAGAAAGACATAAAAGCTGAAGAGGCTGATTGGGCAGTTTATTGGAGATTCGTGGACTCCGGAGGGTTCCCCATGTGCGGCTGTGTGCGGCGTATGCTCAGATGTAGAATATCCGAGTCCCGAGGGTTCCCCATGTGCAGCTGTGTGTCGGCGTATGCTCAGATGTAGAATATCCGAGTCCGGAGGGTTCCCCATGTGCGGCTGTGTGTCGGCGTATGCTCAGATGTAGAATATCCGAGTCCGGAGGGTACCCCATGTGCGGCTGTGTGTTGGCGTATGCTCAGATGTAGAATATCCGAGTCCGGAGGGTTCCCCATGTGCGGCTTTGTGCCGGCGTATGCTCAGATGTAGAATATCCGAGTCCGGAGGGCTCCCCATGTGCAGCTGTGTGTTGGCGTATGCTCAGATGTAGAATATCCGAGTCTGGAGGGTTCCCCATGTGCAGCTGTGTGTTGGCGTATGCTCAGATGTAGAATATCCGAGTCTGGAGGGTTCCCCATGTGCGGCTGTGTGTCGGCGTATGCTCAGATGTAGAATATCCGAGTCCGGAGGGTTCCCCATGTGCAGCTGTGTGTTGGCGTATGCTCAGATGTAGAATATCCGAGAACGTTCCGTGATTACAGAGGACGAGGGGAACGTCAACCACGAAACGCGGTGTGACCAAAATATCTCCAATAGAAGAAAAAGAAGCTGAAATATCGTCTCGTTCTTCATTCACCTCTCTGTGTGTTATAACGTGATAGATAACACAACGCATGGCCGTGCCTCATATATGTGCGTTCCCCTTCATTGTGAATGGCCTTCCAACACACACATAGAGTAGAGATATCACACCCCTCTGCTGTAGTGCAGCACAGTGCATGGTCCAGACCGCTCTGCGTTCTGGCGAGCTGCGTTGCCAAGTAAAGTGCATAGAAATACAGAAGAGCGAGGACACGAAAAGGCCGCGTGGTCCATCCACACAATTTGTTTATTTTATTTGTATTTCCTCCAAATCGTGATTGCGCCCATTATATATTTCTTACATCTTCCCAATCACACAGCGCGAGCTAACAATAAATGTCACCATGCGTCCTGCAGTTCAAATCCCTTTGCATCGGTTTGGGGATTTAAGGGTTAAACATTCTTCTTGTTTCCGTTTCTTTGAAATGTTAGGAGGGGTCGTGGGGAGGGGCCGTGAGGGGGGGGAGGGGTCTCGTCCATTGAGAGGGGGGCTGGTCCATTGTATGTTAATGAAGCTCATCAGATGCACAGAATCCTCACGTTTTCAGTCCCGGGACTTTCCATTGGGGCAGATCACTGTGACTGGGCTCAGAAAAACCCGGAATCGGCCATCTTGCCTCCTGACACAAAACATCTAAAAAGGTCAGAATTTGTTGTAAAAGTCATTTTTCAGTATGCTGAGTGTACAGGAACATATGGGGGGAGGGGGGAGGGGGGGTATCCTCAATTTGAGTGCAAAAGTGAAAATGCACTTTAAATTCACTTCCTGCTGCCGCCTGACTCCACCTCTGCCGGAAGTCCGTTCCGACCACCAACTACTCCTTCTGTGAGATAACAAGTTCTTCTTGAAGGGTTTTTAAAGTACAGCAATACCTTGGTTTAAGAGCATAATTCGTTCCGGAAGCATGCTTGTATATCAAAGCGAATTTCCCCCCGTAGGAAATAACGGAAATTCAGATGATTCGTTCCACAACCCAAAAATATTCATATAAAATGATTACAATACTGTAATATAATACTGTACAAAATATAAAGAAAAATAAACCAATTACCGGTAGACATGCGCACTGCCAAAAAATTTGTTTAGTTTTGTTTCGTTTTAAATTGGGATTTGTGTTATTTCGTTTTTCAGGATTCGGGTGTGAAAGCCAATACAGGAGACAGGAGGGGCCGGTGTGAGGGGGACAGGAGAGAGGAGGGGCCGGTGTGAGGGGTACAGGAGAGAGGAGGGGCCGGTGTGAGGGGGACGAGAGAGAGGAGGATTATTGTGCAGGGCGACTTTCACTATCAATAACGGAATCACTGCGATCTCTCGGCTCAATGGAATCTTCCGTCATTCCGTGAAACCTTCACAAGGAATCTATCCAATCACACTGGCTTTTGCCTCTTTTGAGGATTTCGCGGAAATGTGACATTGCGTTGTCGTTAAACAGATTCATCGCTCGCACTGCTACAGCCTTATTCGGGTGGTGCTTTTCTACACAATTTTGCACTGTTTCCCACATTTCACACATCTCCCTAATCTTATTTGAAGTGAGGGATTCCTGCGCCTTATTCTCATCCTCCTCTGCAGACGAGATCTCCTCCATATCCTCTTGCTGTTGCTCGCAATGCAGATGCATCAGTCCGTCAGTGGTCAGCTCCTGGCCATGTTCCCCCACCAGCTCTTGAATGTCGTCCTCATTCACCTCCAGTCCCATGGTCTTCCCCAAGGACACAATTTAATCGACAACTGGCGACTCCTGTTCATAAGCAGGCCCCTCTAGTCCATGTCCAAAAACGCAATCAGGCCACAGCTTTCTCCAAGCAGAATTCAGGGTTCTCTTGGTGACCCCATCCCAGGCTTTATCGATGATCTTGAGGCAGTTCACGATATGAAAATGATTTTTCCAAAACTCTCGAAGGGTAAGGTTTGTTCCTTCGGTCACCTCAAAGCATCGCTGAAATAGTGCTTTGGTGTAAAGCTTTTTAAAGTTGGAAATGACTTGTTGATCCATTGGCTGGAGGATTGGAGTGGTGTTGGGAGGAAGGAACTTAACCCTAATGAACTCGAATTCTTCCAGTAAGTCGTCCTCAAGGCCTGGAGGATGAGCAGGAGCATTATCCATAATCAGCAATGCTTTGAGTGGCAGATTCTTTTCTAAAAGGTATTTCTTCACTGCAGGACCGAAGACCTCGTTGATCCACTCAACGAACAAGATGCGAGTGACCCAAGCCTTGCTGTTGGACCTCCACATAACATTTAACTGGCTCTTCTGCACCTTACATTTCTTGAAGGCTCGTGGATTCTCGGAGCGATACACCAGCAGGGGCTTGACTTTGAATTCCCCACTTGCATTAGCACAAAACAAGAGGGTAAGACGGTGTTTCATGGGCTTGTGACCGGGCATTGCATTCTCTTCTTCTGTAATGTAGGTCCTCTTTGGCATCTTCTTCCATAAAAGCCCCGTCTCATCGCAGTTAAAAACTTGCTCCGCCAGGTAACCCTCGGAAACCATGAGCTTCTGGAACTCGGTAGTGATCGCCTCAGCTGCCTTAGTGTCTGAACTCGCAGCCTCTCCGTGCCTCACAACACTATGGATGCCACTTCTCCTCTTAAAATTATCAAACCATCCCCTGCTTGCCTTGAAGAGTTCTTCATTTTCTGTAGACGTCCCTGGCAGTTTACTTATGAGGTCGGTATGCAAGGCCTTTGCCTTCTCGCAGATAATGTTCTCACTCACAGTATCACCTGCTAGTTGCTTCTCATTTATCCAAACCAGAAGCAACTTTTCTACATCTTCCAGAACAGGTGGCCGTTGCTTTGATATTCTTGTGACTCCTTTTGCTGCATCTACCCCCCTTATTTCTTCTTTCTTCTTTAATATTGTGCAAATGGTCGACGTAGACTTCTTATACAATCTTGCAATTCCGGTCACTCGCATAACTCGTTCGTACTTCTCAATCATTTCCTTCTTTACTGCCACCGTCATCATCTCCTTCTTCTTAGCGCCTTTCTTTTCAGCTTTTTTGGGCTTTGGGGCCATTGTACAGTATATACAGTCGCACGGACAGATGACCGAGATGATCACCCGCAATCCCTGTGATCGGCGTCACGCCCGGCGTCGCGTCCTGCTCGTATCGCAAGACAATCGCTCGTATAGCGAGGCAAACTTTTTCAGAAATGTTTGCTCGTCTTGCGGAACACTCGCAAACCAAGTTACTCGTAAACCGAGGTATTACTGTATTGATATGTTTCCCGATGTCACATGATGTCACACGGGGCTAACGTTTCGGGTCCGCACAGGGATCCTTCATCAGAGCCACAGTGACACCGCGTATCGAATAAACACATCAATACTTTAAAAACCCTTCACGTGCGTGCCGGGAACTACTTTTATTTACTATTAGTGTTTTGTACGGCGCCGTCCGTGTGCTCACCTGGGCACCACACATGAGACCGCGGCAGTGCGAATGCGATTCGGACCTTTGTTGAGATAACAACTTCTAACATTTTCCGTACATTGAGGCCGGTATAGCGCCGGCGGGATCGCGATCGGCCCATCGGTCAGCTCTGTGTCGGGTAATGTTCATTGTATTGCATGTTACCGCAAAGCACAGCAGAAAATGAAGACGCATGTGGCAGATCTGGACATGGGCCCCCAGTACATTCCTTACAGCCGAGAGAACGCAGAGGGCCCGATAGATATCAGCAGGGTGAGGAATGGACAATGATTGGCGCTGTATGATCGCATGGAATGCGACGCGTGCGTCAGAAATAAGACGAGATTTGTAACATTGACACACAATTAGAATGTTGTCTTCATGTTGGGCGCACAGAGGCCGTCGCTGCAGCGCACAGGGGGAGGGGCCGGACTCTTCATCACCGATCATTTGTTACAATTAGTATCTTTTTTTGGTGACAATTTTGGAGATATTTTCCCTGTTGCGTCCTCCCCTCCCCCCCTCCGCCCGGCACACCGACAGTTAATTGAATGTCTTTATTTCATGTGACAGAAGCCGAATTCTCTCCCTGTAATTGGATTTGATGGAGTCCGTCGGTTGTCAGAGATGGAGATGTGTCAGAGACGTCCTTGTCAGCGCCGCCGCCGCTATGAAGACAATACGCAGATTGGAGGTCGGATCTCATTGGGTGACATTTACTAATCTCCACCCATAAAAGAGCCTCTGTAACCGACGACGACCGCGCCGCATTGAACCGCCGCGTGATTGGCTCTTCCCGTCTATTCACCGCACAGGAAATGTATTCCCAGATCTCCCCGCAGCGATTATCCTGCATCCAGGGGACCGGGGAATTGCTAATTGGCGGCGTGCGTCTCTGTGCTGCAGGAAGACGCATTGTGTGCAGATACCGGAGGCAGGGGAGGCGCTGCGACCAACGGGGGCTCCACCCTTCTTCACATCCGACACCTCAGACAACTCCACCCTTCATGTCCTTCGTTCCCTGCTACTCCACCCTTCATTTTCCATGACTCCTCCCTTCATGTCCCATGACTCCTCCCTTCATGTCCCATGACTCCACCCTTCATGTCCTTCATTTCCCTGCTACTCCACCCTTCATTTCCTAATACTCCACCCTTCATTTTCCATGACTCCTCCCTTCATGTCCTATGACTCCTCCCTTCATGTACCATGACTCCACCCTTCTTTTCCCACGACTCCTCCCTTCATGTACCATGACTCCACCCTTCTTTTCCCATGATTCCTCCCTTCATGTATCATGACTCCACCCTTCTTTTCCCATGACTCCTCCCTTCATGTCCCATGACTCCTCCCTTCATGTACCATGACTCCACCCTTCTTTTCCCATGATTCCTCCCTTCATGTACCATGACTCCACCCTTCTTTTCCCATGACTCCTCCCTTCATGTCCCATGACTCCGCCCTTCTTCATCCTTGGCCTCGGGTCACACAGACAACCTTCGCTCCATGTCTTTGTATCACATTATTTTATACAATGTAACAAACATTTTGGAATGTAGAAGGGACGCCGAGGATCATAGACAGGGGGAGGGGCTTAGTGTGCGAGAGATTTCCCGGAGATTTCTCTCCTCCTCCATCGGCTTGGATTGGAGTCGGATTGATGGCTCAGCAACCTGTCATCGGTGATGTTCCGGTGATTGCTGTGCGGTGAACATATCCCGGACACACAGCTTCATACATGTCAGCAGATTGTACAATCATACATGATGCGTGTGCTGAGGAGATGGAAACACTCCATTGTAGGACAATTCTGGAATCATTTGGATCCTCCGGGTGTGATGAGGAATTCTCAGCCCTTCACCATACAGATCCAGTCACTCTGGGGGTGGGGCCTGTGCTGGTGTACGAGGCGCTCTTCATTCACGTGGTGTACCCGGCACCCTTCATTCATGTGGTGTACGAGGCGCTCTTCATTCACGTGATGTACAAGGCACTCTTCATTCACGTGATGTACCTGGCACCCTTCATTTATGTGGTGTACGAGGCGCTCTTCATTCAAGTGATGTACAAGGCACTCTTCATTCACGTGATGTACCCGGCACTCTTCATTCACATGGTGTACCTGGCACCCTTCATTCATGTGGTGTACGAGGCGCTCTTCATTCACGTGATGTACAAGGCACTCTTCATTCACGTGATGTACCTGGCACCCTTCATTCATGTGGTGTACGAGGCGCTCTTCATTCAGGTGATGTACAAGGCACTCTTCATTCACGTGATGTACCCGGCACTCTTCATTCACATGGTGTACCCGGCACCCTTCATTCATGTGATGTACAAGGCACTCTTCATTCACGTGATGTACCCGGCACTCTTCATTCATGTGGTGTACCCGGCACCCTTCATTCATGTGGTGTACGAGGCGCTCTTCATTCACGTGATGTACAAGGCACTCTTCATTCACGTGATGTACGAGGCGCTCTTCATTCACGTGGTGTACCCGGCGCTCTTCATTCATGTGACATCGGCAGATGGGCGGCGCCTCTCACGTGTGCTGCGTGTTATCTCTGTTTGTGAACGATGTCGGCAGAATAGGTAACGAGGAGTGATGACACGGATGGATGTGACTCTGTGGTGTCCCCGGTGATTGTATCGGGAACATTTCTTATCTGTCGCCTCTGTGAATATTTCTCTTTAATGTTTTCATATCAGAATTAGAAGCGCGTGTCGGCGCGGAGCGCGTTGTCTTCATACATCACCAGAGAGTGTCAGAGCCGATGTCACTGAGTGACGCTGGGGGGGGGGATGTGAGGTGAATGCTGTCTGTCCACTCCCAGCTCCTCGCCATGAACCCATCGTGCAGATACGGAATTGTATTGCTGTGACAGTCAGAAGGCAGAGGACACGGCACACCGGCTCCACCCAAGCAGCCGAATACAATGAAAGTGCAGATACAGGGGCGCCAGAACCGGAGTCACTTCATTGTATCTAACTCTGTTCAGTTAGTGTTTTGATCCATCCACCCCACCAGACAACACAGCTCAGTCCTCCCCAGCATGATGATTGGATAATAAAGGAGCAGCAGCACACTTTTGAGGTCATCACTCTGCTCCCTGTGCCCCTCCCTCTCCCTGTGCCCCTCCCTCTCCCTGTGCCACTCCCTCTCCCTGTGTACTTCCTTCTTCCTGTGCCCCTCCCTCTCCCTGTGCCCCTCCTGCTCCCTGTGCCCCTCCCTCTCCCTGTGCAGGGATTTATAGTAATCTAATACAAAGATAAATCCAATTACTTCTACTAACTAAATGTAAAAATCATTTTAAACATTTTTAATGAACATTTTCCTGCCTGGAATCGCTGTTATTTCTGCATTTATCTGGAGTCCGGCCGCAAAAACCAAATTCCTTTATTGTGTATAAAAATATATTTGTATCATTGGAGCTGTATGTGCTCCTAGCATGGCGGTCACTGCTTCCTCCTCAGTTTCAAATGCCCTTCTTCTGCATGGCCCTATACTTCCCCCCTTCCCCTCTCCTCCCCCTTCCCCTCTCC